AGTCTATAAACCGCTGGGCAACGTATACTCATACGGCAAAAAAGTCTATTAACTAGTGAGATGGGTGTGCGATAGACTTACCTCCACGTGGTGCACTATGGGCAACGTATACTCATACGGCAAAAAAGTCTATTAACCTGCAGTTGACTTCTGACTTCAAACTACCACGACCCCCAAACAGTTGACTTCTGACTTCAAACTATCATCACCCCACTGCACTGGTCCATATTCGACTACTTCCACAGTACTCACCTCATCTTTTTCACTCTACCTTTGTGTCTCTTCTTTTACATCTTTGAAATACTCTTCTGTTCCCCCCTCCCTACTCTTCTGTTCCCCCCCCCCCTCCCCCTCTCGACTTTTTTTCACTTTGATGTTCCTTCTTCTCTGTGAAGCCTGAAGTCAACTAAAGGGCTTATGATAACTATCAAAATGCCTGCCATTTGATATAAATAAATAAATGAGTAGATTTAAGCACTCAGACTAGTGATCAGATAGTAAAATTGGAAATGCAAGTTCAGACATCTGTTGAATCGGCCTGTCTAGAGAAATGAGTAGGAGGTCATGAGGTGAATGAACTCACATACTTTGCATCGGTGTCAAGAATGGGGGACAGTTACGGTGTGCACCTTTGGTTCACACTGTGTGCGAGGTGGATTTGACTCAACAACGACTTCTTCTCCCAGTCGAAGAAGAGAACTCAAAGTTGTGACCAATAGCAAGATGGGGAGGAGTAGGGGAAGGGGGTTAAAATCGGAAATTGATTTGCATATAAAATTAAGTTCTGTTTACATAAAACCAAACCTAAACTTCCTCTAAAGTAGGGAGCAATAAATTTCAATTGTGTATCCTTATATAAACAAAAGTGAAATTACTTCTTAAACGACAAGCTGCTTCATATCAATTTTTTATCAATCAATTTGGAGTACAGCAAGAAGAAAATTTTAAGGTAAACATGAATTTCTGCTGGGAATTAAAAAAACACGAAAGCACTATAGTCTAAATTAGCTTCCGGTGTTAAACTAAAACACATTTTTTTTGAAATTTCGGGCTTTTCAAATTTCCGGGTCAGAGATCCTCTAAACGTCGAAAAGTATTTCTAAACGGAGTCATGACGACCCACATACTGCATATTTTCCTTCAAGTATTCTTGTTTTGATACTAATGGAAATGGATATTTTTAATCGAAATACCTACCCCAAGAGTGGCAAGATGTGGTCAACCAAAAATGTATTTGCATTTCAAAAATTTTTTTAAAATTATGATGTCAATGAATAAGGGCAATTACGAATTTTATATTATAGACGTCAATGCTATGATTTTGGCTTTAATTAAACTACGACACACCTTTCACACCTCTCAGGCAGTTTCCAACTAGAGGTGTGGTCAACAAAAAAAACAGGAATTGATTAGCGCGCCAACTGAAATTGCGTATTTGAAGAAGATAAGAATACGCACACAGTTTATGACGGCAATTAAAAGATAATGCTCATAAAGAATCTTCTTGATAAATGGAAGTTAAAGTTTGAATCTACGTTGTAATTACTAACCAATATATCGCTTTCAGATTCAAATTGACAATGTTTCTAAGTGGTTATTTCAAAGTAGAAAAAGCATGTTAGGTAATTTTTTGGGGGTAAATTTGAGTTGAATGAGAAAGGATAATTCGAGAGAGTACTGTATTTCACACATGAAAAAATTATTTGTTCACTTAAACCAATAGTAAAATAAGTTGAAGAAGATTGCAAAGGCCCGAGAGTATGTCGTGGGAGAATTCGATGACGTAGCTCTTGAAAATATCGGTTCGAGTTTGGTTATTAGTGATAAGTGATTTTAGTTCAATCATCAAGGTCTTCTTGTTTGAGGTGGCCTTTATTTTGGAGCTAACTTGAAATTGAGATCAATTTGCCTCCAAATGTTCCCTTTCTTTCACTTCATTGGTCTAATTTTTGTCCTATACATTTCTGTTTTCGACAAAGTTTGATTTCATCACACACGCACACACACAAACCCACACACATTTCCCTCAAGCGCTTTCTGAGATTCTGTTTCTCGAGAATTTGTCCCTTGAAGTCACCCTGGTTCCCTATACCAGTTGAAAAGTGAGTCATTATAACAATAGGTACCTAATTTGTGGGGCTAAGAGGGCACTGTAAATTTGGATTTATAATTTTAATAAAATACGCCAGTTTTACCTACGAACAGTGCCAAAGGCCTTTGTCAGCTTTAATGAATGGCGGAGTAGTTCAAAAACGATAGGAGTCTGTAAGGAAGATCAAGAAAACAGGGGGTGTGGTGGTGGTGGTCCATACTCTCATAAGAAGCATATCGGACTAAGAATTTAACTGTTGAGATTATTATTATTCTTACTGTTATTCAGAGGTTTTGGATAGTTGGATTTGATTCCAGAGTTGATTTATGCATCCAACCCCCCCCCCCCCCCAAATCTTATTTGCATTCAGTTGTAGTCAAGAGTGAGTGGATGAGAATCACCCCTGAAATCTTGATGCAGTCAAATGAAAAATGAAATCCCGAATAGTTTGAGTCAGATTCAGTTATTTTACTAAACCAATCACAATTCCTTAATCACATTCGATGATTCGTCCTCATTAAAACACACCATTCTCTCCACTGTTATTTACCAATGGTGTATATGCAAAATATTTATTCATTCTGCTTCACTGGAGTAATTTTTCATTAATATGTGATAATTTCATCAACTCAAAGTTCTGCTCAGAGGGGATGGAGCAGCCTATTTTTAATATGAAACCAGTATTAAATCTTTTTTGTCCCCCGCTTTACCACCAACCACTGGAAGAGGATGGAAATTGCTTTGAATAGGTTGTAGAAGTATGAGCAGAAGAAAAAGACTGCACAGTTACCTGGGTTTGACGAAGAAATTGTTTCAAACGCCAAGTTCCCTGACCTAGAAGGATTTATTGGATGCGTTAGCTTACATGCGATGGAAAGGTGTACACTCAATGAACGGTCCAGTGTCCACACCACTCATTTAACCTCTCCGAATGCCTCTCACACGTGCCGACTCGGGTGCCTGTCGATTGACACGACTTTATTATCTATCGCCTCCCCCACGGCCCTCACCTGTGTTCTTAGAAACATACTCAGACCCATAAGGAGATAGGTCCAAGTTGAATTAGGGAATTTATGATTTCGCATCTGAAAAATGGTCTTTTAAAGGACGGCTCTCTCTAATGAAGATATTTCAGTTGGTAAGTACTGACCTTCTTCTGCTACTCCTTTATTTTAACTATATTAACTACAACTATTTACGAAACAAAAAACAACTTGACGGTATGAGATAAGCAGCTATGTTAAAAGGGGAATTTGCCAAGGAAGGTGCAAATACAATAAGTACTTCTTTTGACCAGTATTTGGGGCATTTATTTAGATTAAATGGCAGGGGTCTCGATAGTTATCATTAGCTCATTAGCTGATCTCGGGCTTCACAGAGAGGAGGAGGAACATCGAAGTCATAAAAAGTCGAGGGGGGGGGGGAGAACAGAAGAATAGACAGACAGAGAAAAAGGTGAGATGAGTACTGTGGAAGGGGTCGAATATGACATACAGTGGGGTGATGGTAGTTTGAAGTGAGAAGTCAACTTCCGAATAATAGATTTTTTGCCGTAAGAGTATACGTTGCCCAGGGTGCCCCACGTGGAGGTAAGTCTATCGCACACCCCGCATGCTATTAAATAAAAAGGGTGTAGCAATTTAAAACAAGCATCTCTTTTTAATTTCAGGTGTTCTTAACGGAATATGTCAAGATTTTATTGAGCAAAATCCATTTAAAGAGGACCTCTGTATTTTTCATTACATGATTAGACTTTACTCGACTTAAGTTCCACGGAATAATAATATTTGGCGGTTTTTCTATGTGTGCTAGAGGTGTTTTGGGCGCACCACATCTCCTCCTGAAATGGCAACTTTCCTTCATTCTTAGGCGTGATGGCTGGATGAGGGTTCGTGTTGGCCATCGAATAGACGAGGAAGTCATGATCGTTGTTCAGTGCTTACTTAATACGGTGGAAACATACCGACATGAACGGAAAAATAGTGACGGAGACTACGAGGCTCCCGTGGTCAGAAGATAGCAGCATAACGAACCATCTCATCTGTTCTGACTATAAAGTTCCCGCACATCGAATTTCCACCCGAAAAACCGGGGTCCCAGAAAAGTGTTGGAACATCCCAACATTGCAATTCAGGCCTGTTACACAGTTAATTGAGCATTCATGCCACTTTCAAGAAACTTGCACTCTCTGAACACCCCCCCCCCTCCCAATCCAATTGCTCGTCGTACAAGCGTTGAAATGGTCGAACCTTCATAGGTCTGTTAAAGGTGGAGAAACTTCTAAGCAAAATGAGACATCCTACTGAAGCACAAATGATCTGGTTCCTTTTCGATGATTTGACTTTTCATAGGGTCCAAAGAAGACTCCTCAAATCATCCAGACTACATTTCCCCCCCCCCCAAAACTATCATGATTTTGGAAATCGTGCCCTTCCTCGTACTTTTTAAAGGAGACGTCTAAGCTGATTTTGGATGTCTACGTGGAACTGCTGACCAGTAGTGGTAGTTGCTCTGGAAAGCGAATGAAGTTGGCCAATAATAGGTCATGTGTACGGTGTCAGTGTGGATTCAGCACCTTGTCACACCTGGAGGAAGTCACAAATGGTTGTGAGCCAATTTTTATGACTACACCAGTTCCAGTGCTTGGCCTCAGAAGCCTTCACTCTCACCCAGTAAGGATTTCGGAGTTTTAATACAGTGGTATCATCTTCTTGTAGGCGGCGCAAAAGTAAACTAGATTTTGGGGGGTACTTTTCAAATGTGTCTTTTATCCAGACCACATTCGCAGACTAGCGAGGGCAGACATTATGCTGTCTGCAAACCCGCGGTCTGTAAACAAACTTCCACAAATTCGCAAAGCTGCCAACTAAATGGACATTCCGGTTTCTCTCAATATAATTTGCGTCAATCAAGAAGGATTTGGGTTAGGGCTGATGAGAAAAGAGTTTGATTAATTGATTCTGAGCATCGAGTTAACGTTGAAGGGAAGAATATAAAAGGATTCTTAAACAAAGACTGAGGAATTGAGGACTCACTTGCAAGAGAAACACCGAAGACAGAAAGTGTGGAAGGTACTGCCCAGAGCAGTGACTACGTCTCCTTCCACTGGAGTTCCACAGGCGGCACATTTGATTGCATATTCCTGACGATAGTCCTCTGGGCAAAATAAACAGCGGTCTCGAAAGTGGAAGTTCTGCTCATCCAACGGCTTATCACATTCTACCAAAATCAAAGATAAAATAAAATGAAAATCTTAAATTATCCCATAAGGTAGGTAGGAATGAACATTCATGATGACTACCAATGTCATCATCACCTTCCACTAAGGTCTTCAACTCTCATGAAATTGACAGCTTCAATGACCACCCGCTCACACATAGAGAGAGGAAGCACTAAGCGCTCTAGTTTATTCTAACTCATAAAAAATTAATAATAAAGTAGAATTTTTCTCTATTAGAGGCTTCATTATGCTACCTCTGTACAAGTAAGTCGAGCACCTCTGCGTGAGAATAGCCCCCACCCCCCTGGTAATCAGATTCAATGTTTACAGTCCGGAAAGCAGTTGCAAGAAGGGTGTGATAGCAACGGCAGCAACGGTGTGTTGTTCAAGCTCATTTATTATTCCGTATTTACGAACAGACCATCAATCCCGTCACTACAGATTTTCATCGAAATTTCGAGCATTCACCTACCCAAAATGGGTGTTCTCCTCTACGCTTCCTTGTGATTTCATCCTAACTCAAGAACACTCTGATTCTGCCACAGCGAAGGTATTTGATGCCCCATAAATGAGCACTTTCTTCCACCAATAATAATAATAATAAAAAACAGCACATAAACTCAAATCTCTACTCTTGTAAGCCTGCATTCCACGCAACAATCTTCACACCTCCCTCCCCTCCCCCCCTCCTCCCCT